ACTGTAGCTGCGCATCAAAAGGCTTTAAAATACACGGGATACAAGGCAGTTATGCTGACTTTTTCTTAATTTGTTAATTGATTATAGCCTAATCTGTCGAAGATCCTGGCTCAGAGCCCTTGTGACAGGATGTACTGTGGTTGTGTTTGGAAGAAGTAAACACACACACACACACACACACAGGCACATGGAGACACACAAACACACAGTGAGATAAGCAAACCAGCGGATGTAAATCTCTTGATACTTGCTGATTATTGTGAGTGCAGCCACCACTGACCTTGGCACACATATCCATAGCAGGCTCCTTCCCTCTCCATCCATCCCTCTCTCTGAGGAGTGGCCCCTGGCCTGCAGCTTATTGGGGGGCCTGGAGGCAGCTTCCCATCTCAGACAGGCCCTAATCTGGGAGGCAAATGATAAGGCTGAGGTTTACAGGAGGGGCTTTGCACACTCACCAAATTTGCATTTAAAGGCCCTCAAGTAATCTTTAGGCTTATTTAAATCTCAGCAAGACACTAGCACGAGCAAGAGAAGGGGTGGAAGGAGGGTGCAGATTCTGCAGATCCACCTTCAGTGCTTCTTTCCCATAGTAGACCAAATCCCCACCATAAATGAGTGAGGATGTGGATTGCTTTGCTGTTCTCACAGCAGGTCTGTGTCTGTATCATCAATGGCATTTAATTGACTGGATTATTTTTTTACAGTTTTGCTCCCCCCAAAAAAACAAACCCAAGGGACAAATGCTTCAAACACCAATATGAAGCTGTTTATGAAACAGTCCATCTTTGCCAGAAAAACATTGCGATTGACACATAGTTGGCTGTGCAACAATTCGATTGTTTGATTGTTTTACATGAGCGCGTCTGATTGTATTTTTTCATGTGCTCTTTGTTGATGATTATGATAATTATAAAAAGAAACATCTGCATGCGTTAAAAGCCCAAATAAAAGAATTGCTGCTGGATGACCACCTGAGCAAGACACTATTGTCAAGCAGGTTCGCACATTTTTCTTCTTTTTATTTTAAATTTAGTATTTTTTCTCTGTTACGTTTATTCTCGCAATGAAAAGCCAAAAAATGAATGCACAATAATGAAAATGCCAAACAATGGCATACTGCTTGAATACATTCTGTCCCAGTGTGTGCATATTTACCAGCTGCTGCTGCTATAGAGGTCCTTGTATTGCTGTCAGCATATTCACTAGTTTACTGGCATCACGTCCTGCAGTATGTATACTATAACAGCACAATGCTTCTGCTCAGCCAATTCGCGTCAGCGTCAGGGGGGGTATTTTCAGTGTGGGACTGTATGGTGCATCCTACACATCCAGAAGGGAGTTGAAAGATTAATCCTCACCTTTCCAAGTGAATGTATGTAATTTGGTTTGACAAACACAAGCCCTACAGGGACGTTTTCTTCATTAATACTTGACAATGTGCCTTACGTCTCAGGCCTGAGGAGATGTAGTGGTGTGACGGACGAGAGCATCAAAGTGACCCAGATTCAATCTTTATTTCCTCTACTTGCAAGCTTTTAACACTGAGCATGGCACCTGTGATACAAAATTCAGTTGAGAGAGTAACAAAGGGCCGGGTGTTAACGGCCATTACAACCGGCCACACATATGAGACACGATCTGATGAGCACCTCACACTAAAAACAAACTCAAATATTAAAAAGTGCTAAGACGTGTTCAGAAGGAGCTTTTTTTTTTGAAGAACTTAAAAACTGCTTCAAAACCTTATAGGATTCTAAGTCCATGGTCAGCAGTGTTAAAAATGTCTATTCAGATATTATGCAGAGGAGGAGTGAAGAGAGTTAGTATTTAACTGTTTGAACTCTGCAAGAGAGATGGTCCTCCAGTGTCTGTGGTATTTTAATCCTACTGTGATCTCATTTCTTGGAGTCACTTCAAATACTTTCAATCACTAAACTCTGTACAACCTAAGCTAAAGGTTTATATGAGTCAATAAACCAGAAATCAATGATAAAAGCATTAAAGTTGTTGTAAATTAAAAAATATAAAAATAAGACGTGGTTTTTCATTCGCTTTTGCTAACACATAAAACAAACAGAGCCATAACTTTTCTAAATATAGAAACATACAATACACACAAATATGTAACTATACTTCATAAGATATTCAAACTACTTACTTTTTGAGGTATGTCCATTGTCGCGACCATACATTAGCAACACGTTTTCCAAAATCGTAACAAAACTTTATGACATCAATACTAACGTGTTGAGGTGCAGCTTTCTGCTGCAAAAAGAATCATTGCTCTAAATATTGTTTTTCTATCTAAGATTGAGTCGAACAGGATTTTCAGAACGTTATGGTCAACATGTTGGGAAATACGCAAATTCACTGGCTTTCTAATAAGGGAGTCACAGCTGGTGGATAAGAAAAAGAATATAATACAAGTAATTAATACAAGTTTAAGGTGCTAGTGAAGGATTCTATCATCTCTGCACAGAGCCATGCTTCCAGTCCTTATGCTAAGCTAAGCTAACTGGTTGCTGGCTGTAGCCTCATATTTACTGGACTGGTGTCAATTTGTCATCTAAATTTTGAAAACAAATAAATATATTTTCCAAATTGCTTTGAGTTCTTCATAAAACTAGCTAATGAGAACCTTTTGTGTGAGGCAACATTGCGTTAGTTTAAAGTGTTTCATCCACCATGGGACAAAAAAACCCCATAAAAACACACACACACAAAATGTGGCAACAAGACAATATTAAAGGGCTAAACCCGATATCATATTTAATATTCTGCCTGATTTTCTCTTTAGCATAACCCTCCTCACAGCCTGGAGACAGGTCAAATCAAGCTCATGCATATAAAAGCCATTGCCCTGGGAAAAGATTTAACCAGCCCGGATGGGTCTCAGGGCTTGGCGTAACGAACAGAAAGAAAAAAAAAACACACTTGCTGCCATTTAAGCTCTGAGAAATAAGAGACGACGCAAGAACAGAGATCTGGACAGAACCACCACCACCCATCCCTCCCTCCCTGCCCCCCTCCATCTCCCGAAACTAAAAGTTAGCTCGGCTTCCCAGTCACACTGTGGAGACCCTGCTCACTCTTCCATGCCATAGCCACTTCCTGCTGGCTCTAAACAATGCAGACTCCATTTGGGCCGACGTAATGGCTGACTGCTTGACATAACCCTTGTCAGTGAGAGCTGCGATAGGTGACACTTGACAGATGTGTAATTGCTGGGAGAGCTCACTGACAGGTGGATGAGCTTAAAGACACCCGATATGCTCCTGAGACTGTTGACGCAGGGGATTACACCTTTGAGCAGCATCGGCTCCCCTGAGTGTTTTTGTTTTTTCCTATGTATTTCAAATAAGAAAAAAAAAAAAACAGTTTGGTTAATATATTCCAAGTGAAATCGGTTTGAATAGTTTGAGCCGAGATATGAGCCAAGCGTGACAGCGAGAAAGGTTAAGTCCCCCGCAATAAACCTCATTTAATACATTGAGATGTATATTCTCCGCGAGTAATGTATGGTTGTGAAATCATCTGAGCTGGGCTTGTAAAGTCTGCACTGAGGCATGATAGCTTTCCCTCTCGGGTCAGCCCAGGTGAGGTGGTACCAGAAGCCGGAGATAACACTCCACCCCTATAAAAGACAGGAAGTGAGATAAACATTCTCTCGTTGATTAGGAGCCATGGTGTGGGCTGCCATGTGGGAGGCGGTGCAGTCATAGGGGTGAAACAGTAAGATGTGGATGGGGTTGTGTGTGTGTGTGTGTGTGGTGGGGGGGTTGTGTTTTATGTGTGGGACTGTAATGCAAATCAATGATCTCCTTCAGTGCAGAGCAGAACAGCACAATGCCTGCACACCTGTCCATCATTCAACATCTCCTGTTCCACCTCTTGAAGATGAGTTGGAGAAAAAAAATGTGCTTGAGCTCACAGTGGAGGGGTTGAAAGCAGGGGAGGGGAGCGAGGTGGTGTGCTTAGAGGCCCAGACATTCACTTTTCTTTTTCCTTGCCGACAAGCCCATGTTATTAGAACTGCAGTTACTAAATTGGGAGGAGGGAGACCGATGCTTTTGGATCTGACCTCAATTGCACTGGCGCACTATCTCAACCAAAGTCTCATTTCACCGAGAAAGACAGGGGGAAGAGAAAAGAGAAATTGACAATATCTTTTGTACCATCATGCATAGACGGCGTATAGAGATTTAGTGATGATATGGGGGGGGGGGTGGCTCTAGCTACACCCTAGAAGCTCAGCTGAGTTCACTGGGGGTATTTTCACTTATAATTGGGGTAGCTTTCATCTTGCCTGCCAAAAGGCGCGCAACGAAGAGGAGCACCAAGAGGGAGCTATCACTTCCCCTATTTCCTGGCCCCAGACAAAGGCACCCAGGCAGGCAGCCTGCTGAAGATGATGTATTTCTGATCAAAGAGCCTGGAGTTGTCAGCAGCCCGGGCTAGCGCAGCAACCTGATTGCTCCTGGATAGATTTGTCCCTTTGATCAGAGCAGACTGACTGCAGGCACTGTTTATGCAAAGAAAAGATGGCAGGGCGAAATCTACCCAGAGTTATGTGGAAACAGGCGTTGGGCTGGGGGAAGGACTTTTGCTTGAGGATATGTTGGCTCGCACAATAACACAGGATTATATCTGTTATAATTACCGCTAATGAGATAAGACCGCAAGAAGCCTTTTTACTGTAACTTGTTGCCGTGACCCTTTGGCGCTGACAGCAAACATTCGTACATGTATATTACTCCTGATGAGCTGATTAAGTCTCGCTTAATCACGACACGTACATCAGATATAAGTGTGAGATAATGTAATGTACTTGAGCGACTAGTATTTTTACAAAATGATCAGTTAGTTACACTATGCAAACATCTTACCCATAATGCAAATAACCGCCGGCTATGAATTTATGTGGACTCTAAAAAGGAACATAATTTCGTCATAATATATTGATGTAAATTCTTATTCTGGATTTGTTCTATAGCCGTGATATAGCGAAATATTAATGCCACTGGTCTGCAGCATTGTACCTACAATTCCCACAGTGACCTCAGTCATGTTTTGACTGAGGATAACAGCCTTCTTGGACGTGGGTACATGGGTTCAAACTCTGAAATGTCAAACACACTTGACTTTAAAACACTCAAGTCAGGTTATGGTGCAGCGTGAGACACAACATGAAACATCAGGAGAAGACTGCTCGACTAAAGATGTCCGAAAGGGTCTGCCTAGCACACTGAATCTTTTTTTTATTTTTTTTTATACCACAGTCATGAAAAAAGTCAGAATTAGAAAGACTCAAGTGGAATATGTGTTGTATTCTTTGTTGGAGCTATTATAACAGAATTGTTTACTTCATTTAAACTATCTTGACAATGTCTACATAAATACAT